CCAGTGATTGTGACAGCACAACACTAATGAATCTTGAACACGTGTGTTAATGCATCAGCAAGTGCTGCAAATAAAGCCCCCAGCTCCTCAGCTTGGAAGCTCACTGGAGTAGAGCCACACACTGGATGTTTCTACAGCATTGCTGAGCTTTTCTGCCACCTCTGAGTGTTTTTGCATTCCAAAGAGACAACAAAGAAGGGTTGCCACTGAGACAATGTCACCTCTTGGGATCGAAAATTTGCACAACTAACAGGTCTGTTGGGGGACCTGAATGGGTGAGGTCTCCATGCCATCTAAAGCCACTTGTGGTGTGGTAGTCGGGCCACACAGATTATGTGTCTCTGCTGCCACTTGCCCCACCAAGGGCAGATGAAGGGACATACACAAAACAACATGGGTTAGTCACTAAATGCTGGAGTACCACTGTCCATCACATTATGGGGTGATAGCAATAAAACATGAATCCTAAAAGCAACAAGGAAAGGGGAAGGAAAGAAGATAATCTCCTTAAAGCGTCCTCCATGCCCTCCCTCATGCTGCTGCTTTTCTGATAAAGGCTAAAGCAATTCAGCATTGGAAAGGGGAAAGGGACTTTGCCACGAAGGAGAGTGTGGGGGAGGGATGAAAGTCTGTGCATACTTTCTGATAATTTATTGCTGGCATCTGTTGCAGTCTCTGCTACCTACCCTGCTGTAATATAGGTCACCCACAAGCCCTGCCAGTGCTCATAAGCCAAGCTGTTAACGGAGTCTGATCCCTCAGCCATGATCCAAGGGTTAGTGCAAAGGACTTGGAGAGATAATCAGAGACAGAGGTTGCTGGGCTCTGTCCCTGACAGTGTCTCATCCTAGTGACACAGTCCCCTGTGTCTCTAGCCTCAGTGCTGTTGTCTGGAGAATGGGATAGATTTATCCACCTACCCAAAAGTGCAGAAGCACTAATGGCTCTTACCTCAGCCTTACTTCTGGGGGTCATTAAACACAAAATAACACCACCTGACAGCTATGGTGAGAGCCATTCATAGAGCACATGGCAAGCTTTGCATAGAAGGTGACACAGAACTGGGCAGTTACTAAGCCAGTATGCGGATACAGCAAACTGAAACCCTCCCCACTCTTCTAGCATGCTCCTTGGGACCCTCCCCACTAAAGCTAGGGCTTTGGAGTGATACTGCAAACATTACTGGTGTCTGGGCACAGAGGAGCAGGCACAAGGCAGGAATAGTGCCTGCTGTAGTTTTTAGGCCCTGGCAAGTGCTGCGGAGTCATTACAATCCCCTCTGCACCCCCCAGTTCCCTGTTCAATCTAATTAGGGGAATCCTCATTAGAGAGTCCTCTAGAGTCTGACAGCAGGCCAAATGTCCAAGTGGCACTTCAGCTTGGTGTATTTTTGGCCACTGGAGCCCATGGGCCAGAAACGGATGATTTCATTTTGTTGCTTTGAGCTGAAACTAAAAAAGTTGTCTTTTGCTGTCCTATTTGAAACAGCAATAGGAAAAGGCCATCACCAGCCCCACAGGCAACCCTGCTTTCTCAAGAATGTGGAAAGACATTCAACTCCAAGCACACGGCAGACAGCTCTGGCCACTGTGCCCCATGGATAACAGGGCATTGAGCTGACATGTTGCTCTAGGGAGAAGGAACCATCTAGAAAGTCCATGAGAGAGACAAATGCCTGGTTTGTGGAGCCCTTGGGTAACTTCAGAGCATTCAGAGCTCCAGCAATGCTGACCATCCTTGAGCCCCCAAACCCAAGCAATGCCAGGCAAGCTCAGAACAGATGGCACGGCGTCCCTCTTGTTGAGATGGGGACATACAGGGAGCATTCCTGGGTCTGGCAGAGTGCTGGCTGCTGGAAAAATCCCAGGCTGTCAGGCTGAAAGCAGCCAGACACATCTGGAGCTGCTTTGGACAGGCTGGAGGTGTGGGCAGGTGCTATTTGCCCCAAGATTACACATTCCCAGTGCTGCACTGGCAGCAGTTGTGCAGTTGGCCCGATGCTCTGCACAGCAGAAGGCATCTCTTGGGCCACAAGAAAACTGCTAATTAAGTCAGAATTCAAGACAAGTCAGAGGAAACCTTTAAAAAAGAAACTCTTAAAAATCCTCTCTGCCTCCTTGCTCTCTCCTGACTGTGGAATATTAATCACTAAGGGTATAATGTTCTTATGGGCAGTAGATGCGTAGGAGAAACTGGTTTTTTTTCCTCTGGATCTTTGGAATTAAAATTTCTCCATGAACATACTTCTTCAAGGTATAAATTTCATTGACCCTCACTTTTCAGCAGCCAAGAACCTCTATGTATTCCAAAGCTACTGCTCTGCCACCTGGGCATATGGTGTGCTTGGAGAAGCAGGCAGCTTTGTGGAAGACATGGAGGTTAATAAATGTGGGTTACAAAAGAGCCCCTGGAACATGTGCAAGCCCAGCTCCGTGCACACATTTGTAAATGTAAGCTAGGCTGGTGACTGTGCATTTATACATGAAGGTAGCTGCTTTTAAGTCTTGGAAACACGTGTATGAGTGCACACAGGGTGGCTGCTATCTATGGAGTGGGGAGTGTGGCATATATGTGACATGCTTTAAAATAATCTTGGGTTTATCAAGGCCCCTCCATCTCAGTGCATGTTGCAGTGCAGGAGACTGACATTAAAGCCTGAACAGGTGTTAATCACTATGCACTGTAATAAATTCTAAACATAGGGAAAAGGCTTATTTATACATGGCTGCTCCTCCCACCCTGCACTCTCTGCTTGAGCCTTGGTGCTGCCTGAGGGAAAGAGGCGCCCGTGAGGTACCAGAAATGAGTGCAAGAGCTGGACTTGCCCTGCCAGAGCAGGAGCTGGGGGTGGACACTGACCCTGTCCCCATCCACACGTCCGGGTGTGCCAGCCCTGCCCTTGGCCCCCATAATTTCTTGGGGACAGCTCGGATGAATTGCACAGAGCACGGTGGCAGAGACACCAGTGCATGGCCTGAGTGGGGGCCTGGGCTGAGGGGACACCGCAGAGGGAAACCGTGTCAGAGCACCCAAGGAAGCTGGTTTCATTGTTGTTTTTTTAAAAATGATTTAGCCCCCCTAATTGGAACGAAGCCAGCTGATACAGATGGGGTGTTACAAAACAGAGCCAAAAGGCAAGAGCGCAAGGAACAGAGCTATCTATAACCCTGACAAAGTTAGATGGAGTGAAGGTGGGGAAGAGGGAAAGGCAGAGCATGGCAGGCGGCTGCCCCTGATGCTGAGAGCAAGGACGTGATCATTTGGCAACGGGATTTGGAGCTGATCGACTGGCGCTATCCAGCAGGCAGATAAGGCTCTGTGGCTGTCAGCTTAACTCTGCCGTTTATTCCAGTGCTGTAGGGAGTTAAATAGAGCACACGGAAAGCCTGCTGCTGGGGAGTGAAAGTCAAGGAGGGAGAGGGAAGGAAGAGGCTGTAATTGGGCAGTGTCCGGGGAGTCGGGTGGAAGTGGCTGCAGGCAGAACCCCTCCAGGTAAGTGCCTGCAGCTTTTCATCCTCCTTTTCCATATGGACAGGCGGGGACAGGAGACTTCAGGGGTGGCATTTAGGATGGAGACGTTTCTATGGGGGAGGTTGAAAGTCTCCTCGGTCAGGTCGAGCGCAAGCACCAAATGGGGACAGCTATTTGTTGCAGCTTCTCCTTCAGTGGGAACTGCAGAGAAAGGGCTCCAGCTCAGTTTGGGGAGTGGGGGGCTGCAGTGGATCAAGGTTGAATTGGTTTCTGTACTATGAAAGGTGTTTGGTGCATTGGCATTTAGGTAAATGATCTAAACAGCCTTGCAAATGTGCTAGCATAGGTACTGAACCTGCTCGTAATTTTCATCAAGATGCTAATTTTAATATTTCCTGGTGGTTTACGTTCCCATATAAAATAAATCAGTCTGGGAGTCTGGGGGAGGGTAGGCACCTGGCACATGTGTGGGGAGAGTGTCCTGGTGGCAGTGCAGCACCCAGCTAAAATAGCTGCTGTGGATGCTGTCAGAGCCCCTCAGAGGGGATGGAGGATGGCTTATTTCTGTACTCTGGTTGAAATGTGTCCATCTAACTGCTGCTGTGACTGTGGGTGGCACGTCAGAGAGTACACAGGGGGATAGAAGGATTTGTGGTGTTTTCATTTTTCCTGCCTCCTTGTATCCAAAAGGGAAGCGGGAGGGAAGTTGAAACCTGTTGTCAGTCACTTACTGTCAGGGGAGAGTTTTATGGTCTTTGGGTTTCTAATTAGACTGAGGATTTTTCCTTCTACTAATTAAGATGCAATTCCTCTCTTTTCAACACTCCCACTCAGTCTCCCCCGCCTCAGGTCCTTCCTTATCCTTCTCCTCCGAGGCTCGCTCGCTCTTCAGCTCCTGCAGTTGCTGCAGTGGGAAATCCCCAAGCTGAAGCTGTACTGCTCTAGCCACCACATCCATTTTACCTTAAAACAGACAGGAAGTGCTGGTAGGGAATACGGCACGGGGGGTGGGGGGACGGGTGTGGTGGAGCGGGGAGAGGAGGAGCGGGGAGAGAGGCAGCTCGGCAGCCGCTGGTGCCCAGATCTCAGCGAGCCTGAGCCGTGCGGCAGGCAGAGGATGCACAGGTGGCACCAGCCTGCGTGCAGGAGACAGGAATGAGCCGGAGTCTGCTGCCCTGGCAGGGTCACCTTAGCAATTCATCAGGTTAACCTTGAGCATGAAGCTAATGTAGCCACCATAGCAGGCTATTCAAGCACAAACTTCTCTCTGGCACTTAGGTGAATCAGGTTTTATTTCTGCACCGTGAGGTTCAAAATGAATTAATGTTGCGCCTTCAACACACTGCGCCTCCTGGAACACCCTCCATCTCTCCTCCAAAACAGAAATGATGCCTCAAATGCAAAACACTAATTGGGGAGGGGAAAGGACAGCTCTGAGCTCAGCCCTGTGTGCTGCACCCAGGGAAGTGAATGTCATCTGCTCTGCTTTCCCTCTACAGGACCTGGCAGGCAGGCTACAAGGTCACTCCTTCTCCCTTTGGGGCCGTGGGCCAGGCTGGCTGTTGGATGTGAAGACACGCTGGAGAAGACCACGATGCTGCCTGCAAGTGCTGGCCACCGGTGGAGGAGCAGGTCCCTCATGAGGTGGCAGGAGGCTTGTCGTAAGTAATGCCTGCTCAGGTACAAGCTAAGGTATTCCTGTTTGTCAAGGGAATGGGAAGAAAATAGGTCACATCAGGGTTAAGAACAGGGGAGAGGGACAGCTAAGAATGGAGATGTTTGAACTAATTCCTCATTCCTTTAGAGGCCAGGCTAGCTGGGAGGGAGAGTGATATTCTAAAGCTGAAGATGGGCTTAAAGTGGGACAGCGAGTGATGATTGCTTCTGAATTCCAGTGGGCCTGGCAGGTGAGAAACAGCAGAAACAGACACCATTGCACAAAGATCCACCCTGAACATTTCTCAAATCAGTATCCTATGAGCTGCAGACTCCTCTCTGTGCTTGGGGTTTTACACAGGCTGCTGAGCAAAGCTCTTCACAACAAAAGTCATAACAGATTTTAGAGGGAAATGCAGGATGTGAAGGCAGAATTCTCCCACCGGGCACTGCCACATGTAGTGAAAATCAAGGAGTAAATAAAGAAGCTCTCTTTCAAATTAAATTGTAAACGTTCATCCTGTGCATATTCCCAGTGGGCTGGGGCAGCTGCTACAGTACCCCTGAGTGCAGGGCAGGCACTGCTAGGGTGATGTGGGGCTTTGGGAATTTATCTGCATCTCAGAGAAGTATCTGGGGACCACAGCAGAGTAAAGGGGACACTTGGAGAGTGTCCCAGGCACCAAGTAGGTCTGTGGTTTTCCCTTGTTCCAGTCCTCCTGGTCACATCTGGAGCTGCAGCTGTAAGAAGCTGGGGGAATTACTTCCTTCTCCAGAAAACAAACATCTTTGTAATCCATCCTCACAGACTAGACTGTCTAAATTATTTATAATGAATACTACTGAGTCTTGACTTAATGTGATATACCTGGATCATCTTTCTGCCACCAAACACCCCACAAAGTAACTTGATCTTCCCTAAACACAAAAACACTTCTTATCCATCCTTCTGTAGGGCTGGAAGGCACCTTCAAGTTCTGTCTATTGCTTCCCTGCCTCTCTTTGCTGTAGAGCTGCATCTAAACCAACACAATGAATTCCCTGGCCTCAGCTCACATCCTCATGGATGCACTTCTTGCAGGGAAATGAAAACAAGATCTCTTTTTCTGTATGATTTCAGTAAAATATTTCCAAAAGCATACAGCAATATATGGGTAACAACAAGACATTTTTGGCATATCCTACACGGCTGCAGAAGCTTGGCATAAATCCACTTCCTGAACATAACCACAGCCAGCTGCCTGAGGCTGTTCCTGCCAGCCACTGCCAGCACACACACTGGTGGAACCCCACAGCCACCCAGTCGGCGCCGCAGGCGGCCAGGCATTCTGAGAGATAAGCACTGAACAGAATGCCACCTGGATAGCATTACACATGGGCTGCTCTCGCCTTTCTTGGTGTACAAAGCAGCTGTTATCTCATCATCACAGCTGCCAATCTATTATTAATACTGGGCTTTTGTTAAGCATCCAGGAAAGGATGGGGTCACTTGAATGACTCATTGCTCTTTCCCTTCACCACTCTGGCTGCCATTCTTTTAATTCCCTCCCTACAACAAAAGTGTGACATATTCTGAACAGAATTAAATATCAGCCAGCCAGTCAGTACCTGTACTGCTGTAGTCCATAGGCTATGATCTACTTTCATGGCAATCTCTGCTGTGGGCCCCAGCCTCTGCATGACAAGAAAGCACAGAGGTGGTCTGGGTCAAGATCTGTCTTACATTTCACCATAAGGATCCATAATTCTCCTTAAAAGAGCACATTTATTGGCATGGCCTGTGATGATATACACCTGAGATCTCAACTGTAGGACAGTAAAAAATTATTGAAGAATTGTGAAAGACAGATGAAATAAGAGAGAATTGATATATTATCTCTGAACATTTCTCCCTTGGTCCTTAACAAAGTCATATAGCTTAAGATTCAAAGGATAGTTCTCCTTAGACTACCAGTCCACAAATCTGTCAATTCTCACAAGGATCACTGGGAACACAAAACTTGCCCTGTGTAGGATGACAGGATGGAGTATGAAGGCACAACTCTGACAGAAGCAAAGTTGCTATAAAAAATGGGCTGTGGGTCAGTTAAACTCTAGAGAGTGGCACAAGGGAAGAGAGGAAGAGCACGGCTGAATGCAAAGCTCCAGGCAGAGCTTCTCCACAGCATGGGTCTCCTCTGACTCCCTCTCTTGTGGCAGTCTTTTCACAATTCCTTTAGGACTAAGAAGCAGAACACCTGCTTGTTGGTTCCTTGAAGAAAAGCAGGACAGAAGAACCTGACTGCCAGTTCAGGAAGGCGAGACAATCAATGCATCCCCTTTAGCTACCACTGACCCCTAAAAAGACTCTACCAACACAAGTGACTGCCTTCTCTGAAGGAAAGTGAGAAAGGGAGAGGACAGGCATGATGTACAGACAAACCTGCTTCAGTTTTAGTCAAATGCTCAAACTTGTCACCTTAAAAACTGCGAGGGAGCTGAATTTGCTTCCCACACTGAAGAATAGTGGAATTCATTGTGCGATCTCAATTCCAGAAAAGAAACTAAGATGAAGGATGCAAATGTTTTACATAGTCTGCTTAAACATAACTCCCACTCCTCTAATGACAAGAGGCACAAAGCTTGCTTTCTTGCTGACAATGCTTCTTTGTCACAAAAATGAGAGTTTGAAAAGCCACTGGCTCCCAGGGAAAGTTGGTAACTAGTGTCCTGGTGCCACTGGTAGGATCTGGACCCACGTCTGGAATCCACAGCAGCTCTAAAAAATGCTGATTTGTGATTTGTCCAACCTTGAGATAGTGTAGGAGAAAGGGTGTGCATGTGTTAACCCTTTCCCTGACACTGCTTTTGTCAGTTACCAACATAGACCTCTTTTCCTCATTCCATTGTTGTGGGCCATTTTGGTCAGATGTGGTTTCAGCTGTTCTTTGCATGTCTAGTCTGCCCAATTGGTAACCACGATCCGGGCTCGCCCCATGATTTGACTGTAGTCCAGGTGTGTTAACCCTTTTCCTGACACTGCTTTTGTCAGTTACCACCTCTTTTCCTCATTCCATTGTTGTGGGCCATTTTGGTCAGATGTGGTTTCAGCTGTTCTTTGCATGTCTAGTCTGCCCAATTGGTAACCACGATCCGGGCTCGCCCCATGATTTGACTGTAGTCCAGAAAGTGTCCAAAGTTCTTAATAAGAACAATTGCTGGAACAATTTGTACCCAATTACCACCTCTAGGTGGGGGTGGTCACTGGCCACTCAGAGATACTTCTGGGACTGTTGCTATGGGATGCAGAAACTGTTTTGAGAGCAATGGCAAGTACCAGGTGTCCAGTGATTTAGGGACTCCTTGTTACTTTTTAGCAGTTGTCTTGGTCATCCCTTTGTAATGTAATGTAATTCATTAAAAAGTGGACACAAGGCCCATATGACACACTGTGAATATGGTAAGCAAACTGATTTAGAGTCTTATCAATCACAAATATCAGGATTCAAACTGTAGGAGCACACCTGAAATGTAAATTGTTTTATTTTCATTTTTCTTAAAAGCTTTTTAATAAGATATCTTTTCATGAAAAATTGGAACTTCTTAAATATACCTGGTCCCTCCTGTCTACCCTGACTGTTTAGAAAGAGCTGTCCTTTGTCAGAAGTGACACCTCCCACCACTCTCTGCTCCATTCTCCTCTGCCAGCTACCAGTGCTCCAGTATCTGTCAGCAAAGTCTGCTGGGATGCACTGTTCTGACTTTGTTGTGAAACTGGAAGGATATTTACTTGCTTTTTCCTAAAAAAAACCAGGCTAAGAGGAAAGTCATGCTGTCAGGATGCAGGCCAGGGGCAATGGAATGTAGCTGTGAGGAAACTCATTACACTGCAGGGCATTGCAGTGAAGAGCCCTGCTGTGAGGGTCGTGTTGTAGTTGGTGGCGGCTGAGGATGGGAAAGCACTGATCTAATCCATGCCCTCTTCCTTCCCTGCTTTTCACCTTCCAGTGCTTGGCTGCTGGCTCTCACTATGTGCTGCTGAGTCCTTCTTTGCTTGCCCTTCCTCCTGCAAGTGTAACAGTGGCAACCTGGAAGTGGACTGCAGTGGCTTGGGCCTCTCTTCCATTCCCTCAGACATCCCCACAAACACCAGGACCTTCCTCTTTCTCAACAACAAACTCAGCATCCTGCCAGGAGCAGTGTTTTCCAACCTCTCCGCTCTGCAGAGGTTGGATCTATCCAACAACTTCTTGGACCAGCTCCCTCAGAACATCTTCAGTGACCTGGGGAACCTCACAGAGCTCCAGCTGAGGAACAACAGCATCCGGGCCTTGGACAAGGACCTGCTCCAGCACACGGCCCTGCTGCGCCGGCTGGATCTCTCCATCAACGGCTTGGCCCAGATCCCTTCGGGCATCTTTGACGACCTCCCTGCTCTCCGCTCCCTCTCCCTCAGGTCCAATCGCCTGCAGAGCCTGGACAGGGTGACCTTTGAGCCTCTAACCAGCCTGCAGCAGCTCCAGGTTGGGGATAACCCCTGGGAATGCGACTGCAACCTCCGAGACTTCAAGCACTGGATGGAGTGGTTCTCCTACCGAGGTAGGTGCTCGCGTGCGGGAGGGGAGGCAGGTGGAGGAGTGCTGGTCTTCCAGGAAAAGCAAGCAAAAGGCAGGGAGGGAAGAAACAGGAGCAGATGCAACTGGCAGGTCAGGCTGACCTGAGGGACAGGTCTCAGCCAAAGAGCATGAGGACCCTGCTACGATTTAGTGCCACTGCACCTTCATATAGCAACACTGTCAGTCTGTGAAGTCCCCAGCAGCCCTAGATCTCCTATTCCCTTGTTTTGTTTCTAATCTAAACTATTACCTGTTTTTTTTTTAATCTTGAGAGAAGAAAGAACTTTCCTCAAGTAACATTAAAATTTTAGGATTATGAATTTACATTACTCTTTCTGCCTAAAGAGAAGAACTGCTTTTCACACTTGGAAATAACCATCCCATTCTCTTTCTTAAGCTGAGAGAATGAGAAGTAGAAGTTGGCTGTAAAGCATCAGGTTTGCTGCCAAAAACAAGAACCTTAGGAAACAGTGACACTTAGGAAAAACACTGCAACTCATATTGGAGAACCCAAACTACAGCTCAAATTAACAAGCCAGGCCCCCAGTCAGACTGGCTATGAAATCATTTCAAACGGAGCAGTTTTTGACAAGTTTGCATTTCCAGATTTTCCTTGAAACACAGAAGACTAGAAAGGTACATGTCAATTATCAGGAATGCTGACGGGATGACATGCATTCAGGAGCTGCAACTCAAAGAAAGATGGCACATTTTACAGGAGTGAGGATTGAAGGCCTGACCTTCTGTTTCTGAAACCAACGAGTAGGAAAGGGTCTCAAATCATGCGGATAGCAACAGTCAGCTGTCACATCCCTGCTGATCACAGCCATGCTGCAAGGAGATTATCTCTGCCTGTGGCTACACTGCAGTCTGAAATATGCATTTGTGTGAGCAGAATCAAACAAGCATACGAGTGCCACATTGCACTTTTTTTTTGATTTATTCTTTTTTCTTGACTACCATATCAAAAATTCAGTGGAGAGCATGCAGACATAACTTTGCTTTTTTTCCTCCCTTCCAAGGAAATTGCTCAAACTCACTCAAGCATTTGTTTCAACATCTGTCATTATTTTCACAGAGATGGATTAGTTGTCAGAAGATGGGATGTGTATCTGTTGTTTTTTTTGAGAAGGTACAGCCTGGTCCTATATTTTTGCTTTAAGTTCTCTTTTTTTAAAGTGGTTCTTCTGAGACTTACATAACTCACTAAACAGTATGAGGCTGACTTAAATGGTTTCAGAGGGCTTTCATGTCTTGGCCTATTCAGATGTGCACCAGGAGCTCTAATGTCAAACCCAACCTAGGCAGAGGCATACTGGCCAGCTGACATGGTTGAAGCTTCTGCAGGGAAAATACTTTAGCAGGTGTGGATGGAGGCCAATGAGCTCACCCCAGCAGAGGATCTAACCCTGCTGCTTCTGTGTGGGCATGGAGCTGTGATTGATTCCTGTTATCTCTATTGGAACAGGTGGGAAAATCGACCAGCTGGCCTGCACCTTGCCCAAGGAGCTGAAAGGAAAGGACATGCGGATGGTGCCCATGGAGATGTTCAACTACTGCTCCCAGCTGGATGACGAGAACAGCTCTACAGTGCTGGACAATACTGGCCCACCTTGCACTAAAGGAAGCCCTGCTCCTTCCAAATCTAAATCAGGCCCAGAAACAGAAGTGGAGCCCAGTGTGGGATGCCCTCAGAAACAGCGGTACAGGCCTGTGAGCGTGCGCCGGGCTATTGGCACTGTGATCATTGCAGGGGTGGTTTGTGGCATCGTTTGCATCATGATGGTGGTGGCAGCTGCCTATGGCTGCATCTATGCCTCCCTCATGGCCAAGTACCACAGGGAGCTGAAGAAGAGGCAGCCACTCATGGGTGACACAGAAGGTGAACATGAAGAACAAAAACAAATATCTTCTGTGGCGTGAAACTGTTCTAGGAAGGAAGGGACAGCGATGAAAAAAGGTACCTGAGAGCAGTCAAGCATGGGGTCCTCCCAAAATACATCTTCCCAGACAGACTGTGCTATTGCTCCACTCACCCAAGTAGTACAACATGCTTCTGGGGGGTCAGGGCACCTGGCTCAATTTCTTTTCCTCTGCCCCAGGCCCATTTTGTGCCCTTTCACCCTTGGGCCCCCAGACAAATAAAGTAGAGTCAGACCTCGAGTGCTTGCTGTGCCTCATGCCCTTGCACAGAGCTTCCCTCACATGCCTGCTGCAAAGGCAGCTGGCACCTTCTGGGACCCTGTGTCATCCTCTCAGCTTCGGTCCTGACTCATCCTGTGTCCTGTCAAGAGTTCTCTGCAAACAGAGAGCAGCTGTGGGAAACCTTATGTGGGGAGCAGGACACCAGAAGTGTCCACATCTCACTCTTAGGTCACTGCTGTTGTGTGACACGAAGCTGCAGCCTACCCTACAAATAAGTGCTGCCAAGATTACATCAGAAGGGAGGCAAGGTCCCTATGGTAGGGCAACAGTAAGTGGTAGATTTCCCTCCTCACTTTCACAGGTAAAAAGATATCTGTGTCACCCTAACCACTGCCAGGGAGCACAGTGTCCCTCTTTTTCTCCTGGCCAAGTCCAAACCTTTGAGCTGATACACACATCATCTGCTGCAGGTGCACAGGCACAGAGTCATCCTCCTGTACACACACACACACACACTGACTCACTCCGATCCCAACATGCACGCACAGGGCCAGTCCCAGTTCCAGGCATCCAGGCACCCCACCTGCACATGCAGAGCTATCACTCATGCCCATGCTGACCTGCCCTCTGCATGCAGCCATGGATACATCCAGCCACTTTACCTTATCCTGATCATAGTAGTGTGTATCACCTTCTGCTTCAGACAAAAAACATGCACACACCACTGAGGAGTAACAAAAACATCTGAGCCATAGTGCAGAGCCAGTGGGAACTGGCAGAAGAGGATGGAGAGAGGCAAAGTTACTGGGATTACAGCACCAGTCTGTGGAAATAAGTACACAGCATCAAAAAAAAAAAAAAAGAAAAAAAGAAAAAAAAAGGTGTGTTCTTATCTATTTTATGTCTTCTCAAATAAATGGAGAGGGTACAGATATGAAGCCTCCATTTAGAAATGTTTGATTGGCAGATCAGAAGTGGGTCATCAGGAAAGACTAGAGGAGGAGGAGGTGGATTACCAGGAGCATAAGCTGTGCTGAGTAGTGTGAGCCTAGGGGAAGGTGTCAGGGGAAGAAGTCACACAAACCAGGAGCTGCCATGGCTGGCACGGGGGCAGCACGATGTGTGGAACAGGGTGATGCAGTCAGGGTGACCAAAAAGAGTGGGAAGAGTTATGGAGGGTCTTGAGGTGAAGGCTGGAACCTGCAGCACAGTGTGGCACATATGGGAGAGCCCAGGAAGGGTCTGGCACAGAAGGCAGCAGAGCCCACATGCACTCCCTGTACCATCACTGGGGTGTCCAGTGACAGCCACAGCTGCACCTGAGTGTGCCCACACACACACAGCCGTGCACACTGCCACTGTCACGTAGGGTGACTTCCCCCAACCAGATTTTAAAGCCCTCAGACTGCAGTGCCTCCTATTAGTCTTAGCTCATTCTGACCTGACAAGGAAAAAAAAAAAGTGAGAGAGGAAAAAAAAAACAAACGAAAGGAACTCAACATAAGGACTCATTTTGTATCACTGGAAGTGGGATAAAATGCTGTCTCCAGGGGAGAGCGCACATTGCCATGGTAACCTGCTCTAACCCGTCACAGTGGGTATTCCTGGGCGAGGAAGATGACACTGGAGGTCGTGCATCCACAGTGCCTGTGGATGGTGTGATCCCTGCCATCAGGAAACAAGCTGGCAGCCAGCCCAGCTTTGCAGGGTGTTTCACTAGCAACCTGTGTTCAGAGCCCTGCATGCTCTGCAGGGCACCTCTTCCACCTGCTCCATCTGAATCCCAGTGCTGCTGGACATCTCACAGCCCTCCTGCTCGCTGTGACTGGATCCCTGTGGAAGCAATGCACACTGGCTCCTCACTCCTTCTGGTCCCAAAGAGATGGCTGTACTGACCCGTGGGCACACAACATCATTAATCAAAGCTTGGAGTGGCAAAATCTCTCCTGGTCTACCCAGGGTCACCAGAGCCAAGGAGACAGGGTGCTCTGGACTGTTTTAGCATGACTTCCCTTCAACACGGGGATGCATGGGGCAGAGGAGGATGTTCTTCAGGGAAGCAGAAGACCAGGCTGCCAGGGAGGAAGAACTGGGAGAAGCAGTCAGCCCGCCCACCAGTGCGAGCACACACTTTCCCCCCGCTTCCAGCACACTGTGGGGAAGAGGAAGCAAAGGAGGGGAGCTGGTGAAATGTGAGGAGGAAGGACTCTTCCCCCGTGCACTGTACAGCCATTCCAACCATCCCATCTGCTCCAAGTGTAGCCTGCTCTGAAGGGCAGAACTGGTGCACTGCAGACTCTGTATGTGTGTTATTGCTGTTCCACATTCCCAGCAAGCCAGGACCAGACTCTGCCTGCTGGATCCAAACCTCTCCCCAACCTCCCTCTCAGGGGAACCTCTCCCTTTACCATACTGGACTCCGCAATCATACTTGAAATGGGACTTGAGTCAGAGCGGTATATTTATAGATCTATATTTTACTTGCATCAAATAATGGTGACATATTGCACAAAACAAATGGGATCTATATGTGTGTGTGTGTGTGGTGTGTGTGTGTGTGTGTGTGTGTGAGAGATAAGAGAGAGACTGTTTTTATGGGAACAGACTAGAGGTGAAATGAATGGGAAGAAGATAGGGGACAATGCAGGGGTTGAGGGTGTGAAATCCTCCTTTCCCTGCACCTTCCCTGTGACTTCCTCCTGCCCTGACCAATTTTTCTTTGTTGCTAATAATATTTTCTATATCCTGTGTTGTGGGGCTGGTGATGACCTTGCCCATCCTTTCCTTTTTTTGTTTTAATTTATACAGCAGAAAATCTGGATTTATCTCAACCCTAGACAAGGGACTGCTATGTTTAGAAACCCACCCAGGAAAGGAGAAGACAGGAAAGGGGAGAACTGAGTGTTGCTGGGAAACATGAAGGCTGGTTATGAGGAGTCCCTCTAGAAAGCAAATACTCTGTTTGGCAGGATGAGGACCTGTCCTTTTGCACGCAGAGCCGAGTAACTGGGCTCACTGGGAAGTGCCCTCTTCATGGCACTGTTTGCAAACAGGCTGGTTCTCCGTTCCCCAGCACACCTGGAAATCAGGCTGCCTGGTGTGCCTGAGCTGCTGCACTGCCCACAGGCACTGCAGGGAACACGGCATCCTGAGCAGGCAGAAACAAAGCTCTGTGGGATGCTGGATACAGAACGAGACCCAGTGCTCCTTGTGTGCTCAGCCAAGGGCTTCCTCTGGTGTGTGGGGACAGTGGCTCCTGTTGTCCCTGCAGGCGTGGCTGGGCACGGGGGAATCCCCCTGGGTGCACCCTCTGCTGCAGGCAGCTGCTCCAGTGCCTCAGGAAAGGGTTTTCTGTGGCCAACAGGAACAGCCCTCCTGCTCCCCTTCCCCACACATCCACCTGTGGGACAGGTATGCACATCCCTTGCAGGGAACAGATGGCACTTGTAATTCCTTTTTCTTTTTTGTTACTGTTTGAGGGAGAGCGACAAGATTTTCTAAAATGATTGAATGGAGGTTTCTTTGGCATGAGACAGAAAATTTTTAAAGGTATATTATATTTCTGGCTTGTTGTTACAGAATAATAATAAAGAATGTATTTTCCTATGCTCCTTCTTGTTTAAATGAGATCTCTGATAATACCATTCAATCTTTGCCTATCCCCTGCAGAAGCAAACACCACAGGGACACAGCCAGCCAAAGGAAAAAGCCCCTCAATTCCCACAGATATATTCTTGTCTGTACACACTGTTTGAAGTTGGAGTGATCGTGCACAGACACACACTACATCAGTGCAAGTCAGGGTGAGGCTCTAGGACTGAACACACAGTCAGTGAAGGTGAGACCCTAGATCTAGAAACACACACACAGAATGCTCCAGGGACACAGCCAGACAAGGGTGATTGTATAACAAGGATAAGATACTGTGGCAATCAGCTCATTACATAAAAGTAGAAAGGGCCAAATTAATCCCTAGTGTAAGAATGCAGGAGCCAATGGAGTTATATTCAGGTCAAATTTGATTCCAAAAGCTTTTTTTTTTTTTTTTTTTTAAATTAGAACATAATGTAACAAATAGGGAGCTATGGGTTCCTACATCTCCAGATTTCTGACCCTCTTGAGCAAGGTTATTTCGAAATGGATGGAAATTGCAATCTAATCCTATTGCACCCCCAAGTACACAAGCTGCTCCCCTAGAGCTAAAAGAGTCTCTCCACCAGCTGTTCCCTGCCTAGGTCTATCACACACAGCTAAGAAGTTTAAATTCCCCACTTGGCCACTTTCAGTGCTAAGCATACACAATTCATCACATTCCCTTGCTGTAAGAATAAGCTCATCCTGACGCATGTGGAACCACAAAGATGTTAAACCCCACCACGAGCAAACCCTTGCAGCACCCTGCTCACACTGCTGTACTCAGTCACCCTGCTGGGCTCAGCCTGATCTTCAGAGAGAAACTGGGAGCAGAACCCTTAAGCTACTCTTAATCTGCTCACAGCTGAGGCATCTGTTCTGCTAAAAAGGTATGAGCTGCAGGAGAATCACCATTATTGTTTAATAGCATGGTGTCTATGACACATAGTTTAATCTCATTTTGCCAGCTAGGTAGAGGAGTGCACACAGATACTACTCAGCAGTTCATATAATACCAGAAACACAGAGCAGAAAAAAAGCAAAGCCAACACACTCATCTGATGACTCTAGGCTTTTTCAGTTCATGAACTATCTGGGAGCAGGCTGTGCTTTTTCTGCAATTTGATTTATTATCATTTGATTACTATTTGATATTGAGCAATGTATTCATCCTGCTTATATACCTACTCACGCACACATGCAACACCTTATATAATAACCATGTAATTCTGTACAT